TTGAATTGAGTGCGAATCGAAGCGGGTGCTCTCCAATCATTAAAAGTAACAAAGTCATTGAACACATTTATACAGTTACCTTTACGTTTAGCAATCATATATCACAGATTTACAATTTTTTGTAGTACTATGCTAAAAAGCAACTACAGAGCGAAAGTCTGGGTCAAGCGCCGAGGCGACGGCAAGAACAAAGGAACCCTCGAAGCGTTAAAGCTAGCTTTGTAAGGGAATATAACGGTATGAAACATATAAGTATGAAACGAAAATGTTTTCTTTGTTTTCTTTGTTGATAGACTTTGTTTGCAGTGCAATTTATCTGTTGCCGGATTGTAAGATGAAAGTAGACACAATTTCGGGCTCCCACATTTTATCCGAAACTTTACATTAACAAGTTTTTTTGTTTTTTTTTACTGTTATTCAAATGCAACCGTGGAAATAACGAATAGAACAAAAGTCATTCATTCTTACCTTATACTAATCGTGGTGCAGGCCAGTGCAGTGCATGAACTGATGCCTTCTCCGGTCAATTCCGCTGAGAGTAAATCTAATGTCCCGCTCTACTGTACAAGACAATGGTTACCTGGAGGGATGTACCAATGTGATAGGGGTGCTGCGGAATAGTCCAAGTGGTAGTAGCTTTAATTTCCCGCTCAACCATAAATCTATGGTTTTTCAACGGGATTGTTGTCACCTTGTCAACTATAAATAGATCAACAATCAACGATGACAGAACAACAGTGAATCAATGTTATTTCAATGTCAGTGTAAGGTTTCATCAGTATTTCAATGTTGTTTCAACATTGGTTTTGTGTTGACATTTCAATCCTGACGATTCTGATGGTTCAGATGGAAAATCAACATCTGTTCAATGTCTCCTTGCTATCTGGGTTGTGTGTGTATATGGATAATAGCAAACACTGAAATACATTTTTTGTATGCAGCAATGAATTTTGTTCACTCAAATTTAGATTTTCCTTGCTCAGGAATAAATTTCTCCTCAAAATGCAACACTTGTACTCGCAATTTCTTTTTACGTGTGCTCAATTTTTTTTTAATGTGCGCTCAGAATAGTGACACAAAAATAATGCCATAGTCTTTGACCTCTGTGTCCCCCCCTGTGCGTTTGTGTTTGTGTGTGCATGTGTGTCCTTGTGTCTGTTTCCCTTTTCTGTTTTCATGTTTCTCTTCTTTCATTCCATGTTCCCCCGACTATGGATTCTTTAGGTAACATATTGGTAACATATTTAAAATAAAATACATGTACAAAAAATAAGTAAAATCGTTTTGGGTTTTTTGTAAAAACATTGCTTTTATTTGTTTGTATAATTAATTGGGTTAAGACTTTTATACAAATTTTTAGCCACAAAATTGCGTGTTATCTGGCGAACATGTTTTGTCCTTTATCTAAAGAATCAGTAGCTTCTCACACACACAGCCGTTTTTATTAATTTATTTGTTTAACTGTGAACTTGTGTCGCAGTTCGTCTTCCATACCGGGAAGCTCGTCACACCAGGCTGTAACTTTCACTTTTGATTTGGAGCTGTTTGCCGCACAACAGGGGCACTTTGTTTTTTCTGACTTCGACAGAAAAGAGGCAGTGCAGCCACAGCTGGCTGATTTTTGGATCGTAGCTACTAAGTGAAGTTTTCATATCTGTTTCTTTTCTGTCAATCAGATCATGGCTGAGGTCTTCGGCAGTCGATCGCTAAATGATAAGGTGAGTAATAATCTGTTCGTCTGTTTGCTTGTTTTAGCCCGTCTAAGAAGAAACGAGTGCTACACAGTTAACGATGTCTTTCTTTCTTGGCAGAAGGAAGGAGGCCTGGATAAAGACGGTGAACTAAAGGAGGCCAGGCGAGAGTTGGAGGAATGGAAGGTAGGCCGGAACTAATGCTGAACTACATTTTCCATTTTCAGGTGTGAAGTCGCGCAACGTTTTAGTTCAATAGTAAAATAAGTTCACGACCGTCAGAATAAATTTATGAGAAAACGCAGAGAGCTGACAACTGCTCAGCCGGAAGTGTCTTCATCCTCCGTTTATAGAAGAAGGTGGTTTGTTTACTGAGTACTGTGAGTGATCTGAGTGATTTAAATAGTAATTACAGTTCTCAGATCTCTTATTTAAGTCGAGATGCAATCCTGCATCGTGAATGCAAGTCCGGAACTAAGTATGTTCTACAAATAAACGTACTAGACTGAAAAGCCTGAGAGAATCTATCTAAATGCCCATATTATAATAGATGTCATTATTTCCATTGATATACATTTATTAGCATTGAGACATCATTGGATACATTTTATTTACGCATTTGAGCTTAAAGTTAAATGGTTACTTATATTTGGTTGCACAGAAGATGCAGTTTGCAGTAAACAGGGAGAAACCATAAAGCAGCTCATTTCATCAAGTGAAAGTCAGACGGAACGGGCTCAGGCAACATTCCATAGGGTGTAGCTGTAGGTCTATATTTGCTCAACTAAAAACTATTTTGATGGCTCACACTTTAGCAAACGAGGGACAGGTGAAGTGAGCACAACCAAAAATGAATAAACACTGTTTTAGTCTTTTGTTTGGGGGAAAGATTGGTCATAGTTTGTGAAGGGCAGAACCATTATCTTGTGAAACCTACACAATTGCAATGATCAGTACAGATTTTGATTAGTGATTGCTCAGGAACCTGTTTATATAGAAATAAATAAAGGTACATAAGGTTAATGTCAACTAAAATACAGGCATACAACACCAGGGGGATGCAGCAAGAATACCGAGTTTCATCAGTGAGTCAAGTGCACAACATTGTTTAGGATTTCTCTTTTAAATTTATATCAAATTTATATAAATGCTTCAGTTCTTCCATTTTTTCCTCATAAAGACAAAAACTAAGTAAAGCTTTGTTTCTCTTCCAGTTCTGTACTTTTCTTACTTATCAGCAGTGGTATTATATCATTCAGAATGACTTGAGTATATTTGGCCATGTTTAAATATCTGTCAGTGAGAGAATAATTTTATTTGAGCAGCTTGTAGTCTCTTTGTAGACTGCCCACAGCTCCAGTTGTATTCTCTCTGAACACCACCTATTGCTCTTAAAGGCTAGATTCGAAAAAGCGGATGATGTGAAAGCCAGGCTGATACTGGAAAAGCTGACGGAAGATGATGCCAAGACAAATGCACAGCAGGAGATGAACGCTTGTGTCAAAAACCAACAGAAGATCCAGGATGAATTTAATGAAAGCATGAGAACAGTTCAGGTACACTTATTGTCATCTGTGTAACATCTACACTACACTCAGAGAAACTGAGAGTACATAACTCTCACCAAATATTCCACTTTATTCTTTTCCATAGGATGAAATCCAGAAGCTGACTAGATACAATCAAGATTTGCTGGAGAAACTGAAGAGATGTCAGGATGAACTGGAGGCTAAGAAGACAGAGTCCCGCAAGTTAAAGCAGAAATTCAAGGTAAAAACCAGGAACACTTTCAGATCTGTCCATCTGCTCACATTTACGTACACTAATCACGGGCATTAATGTGATGGTAATTATGGGATTTCCACACATTATAAATACATCACCAAACATATCCAGATGTCTCTTAGCAAGTTGCATGTTGATGAGTTATTTTGAGATGGCAGCAAATTTACACTGTTATACAGGCTGTATAACATAACCTAACTGTTACATTGTATCAAAGTGTCATATCTTCAGTGTTGTCCCATGAAACTATATTACAAAATATTTACATAAATGTGAGGGGTGTACTCACTTTTGTGAGATACTGCATAGACGTACAGGCTCGTATATATTCTTTTGAGTGTGTGTGGATTCAATTCAAATTTGTGCATCCAATCCCTGTTTTTAAAATTCCTTCAAGAGCTATGCTCTACAGTCATTCCACCCTGTGAAAGGCAGTTCACGGCCCCAAATAAAACTGTGACATTCATGTTCCTGATCAGCGGACACAAATGCCTGACCACAGCTGTATACACATTGAAACAGATAACGGCCTGTAACTCTGTATTGTCCCATCTGTCCAGATCTACGCCCAGATCCCAGACACAGAGGTGAAATTTATTTCTCCGAATAAAGAGACAAGGGAAGAGGGTGACGAGGACAGTCAGCCAATCAGAGGAGTGTTTACCATCAGCCAGAGAGCTGCTGTGCTTCTGCAGGGAGGACAGGCTCTCATCACCTTTGAGGAGGAGAAAGGTAGACGTCATTTGACTTCAGTACTCTATATGGTTCATTCTTACTTATGTTAATGTTAATAAAACCAAAAATAAGGAGTCCTCATGGTTTTCCATGCTTTGCTGTGTAAGATATTTATACAATGACAGTTTGCACTGTCACTTGGAAAAAGACACATACAAGACAGTTAAATGCTCAAGTGAAAAAACAGCATTTCAATTTCAGATATTAAATATGAAATTATGATTTCTTATTTTTAATATCACCTGAAAAAAGAAATTTAAATGAAGACAGACAGACGCGTTTTTTGGAGGTGTGGTCGTAAACTTTGGATCAGCTGTAAAACAGCCTGTTTCACTTTAAGCGTTATTTTCAGTACATTTCATGCTCAAGAAAATGTTTTGTCTCATTCCCATGGCTTCTTGTGGCATGCTGTAGCTCTAATTGGAACCTTGTGAAGATCCAACCATGCAAATTATGATTTTTATGCCATTTTCCAAGTGGTCTTAAACGTTTGATTGGGACCGTATCTGAAACTGCCACACGAATGTTCATCTCTTTAGTTTAACGTACATCATGTCAGCATAAAAAGATCAGATCAAAAATCTCTGCAACAACAGCTATAATAAAATCAAACACTTGAGAGACAAGAATAAAGAGACAATGTCAGCCTATCATAGTGTGTCTATACTACACCTAGACAGATTATTCTGTGATCAACCTGCTTAGCATGTCAAAATGAACCCGATCATGACTCAGACCTTACAACATGGAGTTCTCAGTACAACTGCAAATGATACACATCTTTTTGTCATATTCTTGGTGTGCAGTGGCTCGCCAGATCCTGAAAATTGCCAAGTGCTCTGTGTCCTGTGAGAACAGCAGTTTGGACGTGAAGCCGAGAAGAATCACCATGGATCCTGCTGTGAAGTTTGAGGTAGATGCTGCAACAGTATCATCGGGTTTTTTATGCTTCAGTTAGAAAATGAAGCCTCATGTTTCAAAATGAAAAAGCAACTAGAGCCTTATTTTTTATATTGACTGTGTCTCTAGTTTCCTGTCTATAGTTTGTACAGTTGTAACACTGTCAGGTCATTCAAATCTGTCCACAGAGTAGGAGTGAGACAGTACACCTCTCCAGGGTTACTTATTGCTGTGATGACACACAGAGAATACTTTCCTAAAAATACTTCTTAACTAAAGCCAAAGTTTTTTGGCTTTAGTTAAGACCCTAACAATACAGAACTAGATCCATCCTGAGTCATTCCCATGGAAAATATGGCCTTCTGTGTGTGTGTGTGTGTGTGCAGCAGGGTCAGAATTAACAAATTAAAACAGGAAGTAACTAAACAAGGAACACAGGAACGTAAACTTGACACGGAGAACACAAAAGAGCAGGAAAAATGACCTCCTGGGACAAACAACAACTAGAACTACAACCTAATATCCAGAAAATGGAAAATGAAGCTGGAATATGAAAACCTAAGTGACAACATAAAGAACATACTATACAGTAAATATAATAATTAATAAAACAAAAATAATAAACTCAAAGCATGAGGTCAGCAAACAGATATATAGGACCGCTTTCTTCCACTTATAATTTTTTTATATTTATATATATATAATTTTAAAATCCTCACAAACCCTTGAATAATCAGGCCCCAACTTATCTTAAAGACCTCATAGTACCATATACCAAAGTACCTCACTTTGCTCTCAGTCTGCTGGTGTACTTGTAGTTCCTAGGACATTTAAAAGGAGAATGGGAGGCAGAGCCTTCAGCTCCCACTTTGGATTTGTGAGACAGACACTATCTCTACTTTTAAGATTAGGCTTAAAACTTTCCTTTTGGATAAAGCATATCGTTAGGGCTGGACCAGGTGACCCTGACTCCTACTTTAGTTATGCTGCAATAGGTGTAGACTGCTGGGGGACTATGTTACACTGAGTGTTGTTTTGTAATGATCAACACCCTGTAAACAGTGTGTGTTCACACCGATGTAGGTCCACCTTGACGTTTCCAGAAAGGAGCTGAAAGTTTCCAACGTCCCTGATGTCATGCCAGAAGAGAGAATGAAAGACCGACTGGAAATTAGTTTTTCCAGGCCCAGTAGAGGAGGAGGAGAGGTGGAGAAAGTGGAGTATGACAAGAACACTGGGACTGGGTGTGTCACATTTCTCCAACCTGGAGGTAAAACTCTATGAGATAATTGTGCGACATTACACATTATTCTTAGTTAGTTGTTCTAAGTTATTCTGTATCATTACAATAGTTGTAGCCAAGCTAAGTATGTTAATGCTCAAATGTATGTGCATTTGTGTGCAGTTACTGAGAGCCTTGTCCTGAGGGGAAGGTACGACGTCGAGCTGGACACTGAGGTGAAGGTGAAGGTTGGACCTATTTACGAATACCAGCTGCGCAGATTTCAGGTAAGTTACAGCACTGAGACTAAAAGCACTTTGTTAACTTAGTTAAAAGCACAATTTATCACTTGTACAAAATTTAACTGGACAGGCTGCCAGTCTGTTGCAGGACTAACACAGAGACACAGGCAACATTCATGCTCACATTTTAGACTTGGAGTCTCTTTGGAGTCACCAGTGCATGCCTTTGGACTGTTGGAGCACACAAGGGCCCACGCAGAGAGGCCCCACACTGGCAGTTTACCTTTAATTCCCAAGCTGACGCTTTCAAACCTTTTTATTTTTCAAAATACAAAATATAAAAATATATATATTTATGACTCAGAAAACTATACTTACCAAACCCCACATACCTTTAAAGGTCATGCTACTAAGGGAAATCACTAACTCAATTAACAAAATAGCCATTGCTGCTGGATAATTCCTTTCTTTTACTTAGCCTAGTCGTCAGAATCCACAACGTGTCATGAAACTAATTTGTTAAAATTTCACCAACAGAGACATATGGAGAAATTTTTCCTGTTTATTTTAATATTAACATTAACCAATAAAACCTCTACATTTAGGGAGGCTGTGTCTTTTTGCAATTATGTAAATGCATCCATGCAAGTTTAATGAAAGATAGTTATTTCACTTTAGCACTAAAAATGCTTAACTGGTATAAAACTTTGCATTCAGTTGCCTTCAGATTAACAGAAACAAGAATACTTCTAGAAAAAATAGTTATATTTTACTTCAAGCTATCTTGGTATTTGTTTTTTGAGGATTTTTAAGTTGTATTGAGAGCTGATGGGGTGTTACGCACACCACAGGTGCGACTACCAAGTTTAAATCTTAGTGACCGAGACATCAAGTCAAGGTCAGAGATCAAGTTTTCTGAAATGCCATAACTTGAGAACAGGGTGGCGTAGGATTTTGAAATTGATACTATGGGTGTGTCAACTATGACAGTGAGGACTAACACTGGCAGTTGCAAGTCTTCTTTAAATTTAAAAGCCTTTTTTTGTTACATAGTCATTGTGTATTATGACTTAAAACATTCATAATACATAATTATTATGGCTATAGTAAAATAATTATTCTCTGACAAAAATATGTAATTATTTCACAACTTGTAACAAACATATAATTATAGAAATATTATATTATAACATGTAAGTGTCAGTATTTGCATTTTTAAATTTTTTTGCAATTACTAAGTCTGTAGAAAAACAGTGTTAGCGGGCTTTCTTATGTGTTCAAATACTCACGCGCCTACATGAATAAGTCTTAACGACACCCCCCACCCCCACACACAAGTTGTTCTAAAACTTGTGTGTGTTGTTGTAAAAGTTGTTAAAAGTTTGCAGAGCAAAGCAAATTTTTATGATTTATTTCAGACCTTTTGCGGCTGTCCGAAGCGAACCATCCTCCTGGATGACATTCAGGACATGGTTGATGAGGAAGACCTCCAGGACCATCTGGAAATCCATTTTCAGAAGCCCAGCAACAGTGGTGGTGAAATAGAGAGCATCAAGTACATCGCTAAACCGAAAGTCCTGCAGGCCTTTCTCTGTGAGAGCACAGAGGAGAAGGACGACAGTCTGTGAACCACCATGAACTGTCCATATAGGACATGTAAGACAAGCTCCACCTGTATTAAAGTATATTTCTAATCATTTCCAAACGTCTTGCTCAACCTGAAGTGATACATTGTAGAGATTTCATTTATTTGCTCTCCTGCTGGGTTAATCGGGACGATACTTTATCTCTGTGCATTTAATACATTTGATTACAATCTTCCATGTGGTAAAGTTGGGGGTGTTTGAGTTATGTTAAAAGATAAATCCAAGAAATTCTGAATATCACTTGAAAAAGAACCTGTGTGATATTTTATGCAGTCAGTCAGTAAAATTAATGACAACCTACACAAAGACAGTACTGCTTATAAGAACATGTAAACACTGGGATGGGTAGTAGGCTGATAGTAGGCTGAAAGCCTCACATCTCATTATCTAATCACTTATTTTAGTCAGAGAATTGTATTTCCTTTAGTTAATGTAACTAACTGTAAATCTGGGATGTCAGAAGACAAACGTGTAATGTGCTGGATGACATGATATTTTCTGTTGGTAAATTACCACTTGAGAGGTGAGAACTGCAGTTTTATTACAGCTATCTCTGAGCTAGTTGCTTGCCCTTTTTAGCTCTATAAACCTGCAAAGGAAGCTTTCAGACACACTGTCATCCTGTGTAAAAAGAAAATCCTCGCAATTTGAACTAGTGCCTCAACTGTCTTCTATGCTGTACTTAATAAAGTTAATGAATCCTGAAACAGTAACATAAGTTATATTTGTTATGTTGTGGCAGCTGCATTGGTAACCACAGTGTTAGCACTGCTCCCAGAGTCACGTGTTGCTTTATTGTGGCTCCTGGCTGGGCAGCATGATCATTAGCACAGTATTAGTTGTTGCCTCACACCACTGTTCCCTCTGTAAATGGTAAATGGACCGCTTCTCATATAGCGCTTTAACTGACCACTCAAAGTCATTCACCCATTCATACAAGAACGTCTTTCTAAGCTCTTTCCAACATTCATGCACATTTATATTCCAGTGGATGCCTTGGAAGCAACTTGGGGTTAGTATCTTGTCCATGGATATCTGACATGCAGACCAACCTTCTTATTAGTAGGCTTCTGTCTTCCTCCCACATTCCAAGATCGTGCATGGACTAGGTTCATTGTGAGTAAATGTTCATTTTATTCATATATCACATTTCATTACACATAAACTCATAAAACCTCGTGTAGGTCTACGATGACTCAAACAAAAGAAAACAGTAAACTGTGCAGAAAAACAGAATCAACTTTCTGGGAACCTTTCATAACATTTTTATTAGAAACTACTGTCCCCAAAGTTATATGGTCATATACTTTGAACCCAGAAACAGGGTAACTATGTGCGAATGCTGTTTGTTGATTACAGTTCAGCGTTTAACACGATAGTGCCCTGCAGACTGTTCACAAAGCTCAGGGATCTGGGACTCAACAGCCGTCTGTGTGTGTGGGTGTTGGACTTCCTCACTGGCAGAACTCAGGTGGTGAGGGTGGGTAGATGCGTCTCTAACAGCATCACCATCAACACACAACACAGGAGCACCACAGGGGTGTGTCCTCTCGCCACTGCTCCCCCCCCCAACTTCAGGACATTTACGCCAGGAGGTGCTGGACTAGAGCAGCGCAGATACTGAAGGACCCGTCCCATCCTGGCAACTAACTGCTCCAACTTCTGCAATCAGGCAGAAGGTTCCACACCATCCAGGCAAGGACAGAGAGGCTCAAGAGGAGCTTTTATCCTCAGGCCATCCGTGTGTTGAATCATGCCCCTCTCTTTTTTGCACAGTCGAGGAGTGTATCAGGTCCCATTACACTGCGTGTTATATCTGTATAACCATGCATGTGACAAATAAAGAACCTTGAATCTTGAAATATTTGGAAATTGACATACTTAGCCCTTGTCACCCAGTAACAGCTGGGACTGGCTCAAATAAGCCCAGGCTCTAGGAATATTTAGAGGTGGATTTCGAGCAACAGCTATACAGCTATGAAAGCCATTAGGAATCACGAGAATTTAACTTCTGATTGTTTACCAGAGGAGAGCAGTGGATGAGGTAGTGATCCACTAGAGAAGGAGTTGGTTAACGAAAAGGAAAATGGTTGGAATACAGTGAACAGTAGTAAGAAATGTTGGAGACATACAGCGGCTTGCAAAAGTATTCGGCCCCCTTGAACTTTTCCACATTTTGTCACATTACAGCCACAAACATGAATCAATTTTATTGGAATTCCACGTGAAAGACCAACACAAAGTGGTGCACACGTGAGAAGTGGAACGAAAATCATACATGATTCCAAACATTTTTTACAAATACTTTTACTTTGTAGAGCCAGCTTTTGCTGCAGTTCCAGCTGCCAGTCTTTTAGGGTCTGTCTCTACCAGCTTTGCACATCTAGAGACTGAAATCTTTGCCCATTCTTCTTTGCAAAACAGCTCCAGCTCAGTCAGATTAGATGGACAGCGTTTGTGAACAGCAGTTTTCAGATCTTGCCACAGATTCTCGATTGGATTTAGACACCAGACAAGTCAAGGATAAAGATATTAATGTGCTGTGTTAGTTTTCTGCCACACATAGCGTTTTGCATGTTGGTCTCATCTGACCAGAGCA